GTTGCCAAGGTCTATCAATTTCATTTTTGCGATGTGTCTTGAATACGCACCCTTTCCTCATCACCTCATCATCTCACATCTGGAATATTTCAGTAATCAGCTGGTGCTTCTGATTACCTCAAGTCTCTCCTCACTCTAATCCATCTTCCAGTCAGCCACCAAAGCACTTGTCACTTCCCTACTCAGTAAACTGTATCACCTCTGGGAGAAAATGCAGAATTCTCTGTTTGCCATTCAAAGCCCTTCATAACCTAGCCCCCTCTTACCTTTCCAGTCTTCTTACACCATACCCTCCAATATGTACTCTTCGATCCAATGACACAACCTTCTGGCTGTTCCACACACAAGACACTCTATGGGCATTTGCTCTGGCTTTTCCCCTTGTTCCTGGAGCTCTTCCTCTTCTGGTCTGTTGATTTACCTCGCTTCCTTTAAATCATAATTAAAATCCTACCTTCTTACAGGAAGCTTTCCCTAATCCCCCCCCTTACTTAATTCCAGTGTTCTTCCTTCTTTTAATTATTTCCAATTTATGCTGTATATAGCTGGCTTTTTATATATTTGTTTGTATCCCTCATTAAATTCTAAACTCCTTGAGGTCAAAGACTGTTTCTGTCTCTTTTTGTTTCCTTATCATTTAGCACAGTGCCTGGCACACATAGTCGGTGTTTAATAAATGATTGATTGATTGAATGATTAATGTATGAAAATTTTTTTTTGGTGTTTCAGTTCAAAATTTTTTTAATGAAAAAAAGTTAATCATTTTATTTCAGGGTTGTTCTTGAGCTTTAGTCTTTTCCCTTAGATCATGTCTATACAACATGCCTTTTGGCAGAGATTGAAGCAGTGCATGTGGATGTAGAATGTTGTCTTAATATATAAATCAATCATTTACTTCACTCCTCTCTGAAAATGTTTCATTTGTACTGGCCTACTTTTCTGTGTTGAGAGTAGTAGGCTTTTTCAAAAAACATCTTCCTTCCATCCTATTATCAGCTCAGACTCAAAATGTCAAAAACTAAGCTCATCATTTTGTCTGCACATTCCAAACTTCTTTATCCAGTGTTCCTATTTCTTTTGGTGATGCCATTACTTCTCCCAGTTTTACAGGCTGAAATTATCTTTGATTTTAAAAATTCCTTATATCTACTTTATCACCAAATGCTGTCATTTCTTCCAAAAAGTATCTCTGGTTCTTGCCTTTTTATTGTTTTCCATTGCCACCACCCTAGCACAGTCCTTAGCTTATTAAAACAACTTCCTGACTTGCCATTCTTCTCCAGTTTCTTGCCCACCATTCCATCTTGCATACTACTGCACTACTTTTCTTTTTCCTTAAATACCCCTTCTATCATGTCCACCTTTTTAGCTCCCTAATCAACTTTGTGTGACTTTTAGGATCCTCCATAATTTGGACCCACTCTACCTTTTTTAACCTCATTTTCCCAGTGTATGTTCTATTTCAATCAAACCACTTTACTTATTTATTCCCATGTATCTCATGTTCAGTCCTGCCTTTCTTACATCAATCCATATCATACATATGTCCCCTAAAGTTTTCCCTAGTTTGACTCCCATTCTTCTTTCCCTTATCTGAATTATCCTAATGCAACTTAAGAATACATGTAACATTGTTCAGACTTCATATAATAATGGCATTAAAGCATCATAACCAAATTCCACTGTAATGTTATCCTAAGATTCAAATGACATAGACTTTTCCTTCCCTATCTGTCTTTGGGGAATCTTTGCTCTCCACCATCTGAGCAATGAGTAATACAAACAATAGCTGATACTTATATAGTGCTTTCAGCTTTTTGTGCGCTATGTAATATATGATGTGGCATAGGGATGGAGTACTGGATTTTAGTCAAGAAGAGCTGTGTTCAAATCTACTCTCTGATGTATGCTGTGTGCATGGACCCTGAGCAAGTCAATTATCCTCTCAAAGTTTCATTTACATTTTCTGTAAACTAAAGATGTTGAACTAGTTGACCTCTAACGAACCTTGTAAGTCTAAATGTATAATAGATAAAAATAGCTAGCTTTTATCTAGCTATTTAAAGTTTACAAAGCACTTGATGAATATTATTTCATTTTATCCTTACAATAACCTTGAGAGATACTTGCCATTATAATCTTCATTTTTAAATGAGGAAACTGAGACAGGCACAGGTTGACTTGTCCAAGGCCAGATTTGAACTCCATTTCCAGCCTTTCATCTACTCCAGCACAGAGTTGCCTGTAGTCCCATGATGTCTTTTGAGGCTCATAATATGCTATCAAGTAGGTACTTCATGTATTGTTATCGCTATCCTACTGAGGAGGAAACAGACTCGAAAAAGGTTTAATGACTCAAAGGTAATCATGCCTTCTCAATGTCGAGATTTTTGAACCTAGATCTACTGACTCCTAGGTTTAGCTATATGCCTCACTGATAGAGACTGGAGTAGTTTGATCAGGAATCTTTCACATTTACATCAGTTAGAAAATTGCTGCTGGTAACATCTAAAAAAGCTCCAGTGAATCACAGATGTTAGCTCCTCTGAATAGAGAGTATTACCCTTTATCTATCCTCTTTACATCTTTGCCCTTTTCATGCTTCAGGGTACCATGGGTACCTCCAAGGGCAAGGGTGCAGAGGGAGAGCTTGCCAGCATTGAGAATTGCTGCCTTTTCTTCCAGGATGCCAGCCTTTAAGGATTTGGTTGAATATCTGAGTGTAAGAATTTGTTGTGTCCATGTGATAAGGGAAGAGTATAGAGTAGAGTGAACTTGAGGTAGAGGGGTCAGTATAAAAATCTTTCTCTCTGTCAGCTGAGATGTGTCCAAAAATTAGTTTTAATTTTTTTATTGTGAACTATGGCAATTCAGAAATGTAACTGCTATTGATAATAGAGTTCACTTAGCATTAAATGGAACCCACCACCTTAGGAAGTTTCTAATATTATTTTTTTAAGCATTAGAGGGATGTGTTCATAACGTTAATATTGCATAGTTTAGCACTTAATTTCCCCCAATTATTTCATGTATATTTCATTTTATATCTCCATCCTGAAACAGATATTAAGCTTCTCAGGGAAAGCAGCATGCCATAAATTTCACTTATACTCTTGATAGCTCCTAGCCCACTGCTGGGCATAGTAGCTTAATGTGCTAGGTAGATAGCCTGTATTTTCAGTAGGGACTTGATGGCAACTCAGCTTTAACCATCTACCTCCTATCTCAGGAACACATGGAGATAGAAATCAGTTCAGTGGGCAAAATATTAAATAGAAACCAAATGAAGTAGAATGTTGTCATAGGAGAATATGAAAAATGAAGGAAGGTAACATAAGCCAGGAATTAATAGACATGATTTGTAGATACATATTTGGAAACTGTAATAGTATTTCTTTCTTCCCACTCCATTCAATTATCTTCATGGTTCTAACAAGTGTTGATATTTTTTGCTAGTTGTGCTTCTGTTAAATATATTAGGAATGTCATCTGAGTTACAGGGATTTTGAAAGAGGTGACCATAGTGACATCATCTGTGACATCACCTTTTACCAACATATAAATTACACTTTATATGTAGAGTTTATTGCCCAACATAGAACTCAGGCAATCAGTATTTGGGACCAATTGAGTGGGTTAAAGAGACCAATTTTAAAAAGTGATAACTACGAATGAACTATTTTACTATGGAATCTACCTGTCCTTAAGTAAAACATCTGAATAATGAATATGTAGGCATATAAATATGTATAGAAAACATATTTGATATCTGATCTTACAATTCATTTCCTAGGATCTTTAAATTATCCCACATAGTAGTTTTGGAGGGATATACACACATATATGTATTTGTGTGTGTATTTGTATATACACGTGTGTGTGTTTGCATATACACATATATGTGTGTGCATAATGTATACCCACACAGTCCTCATATTTCACTTCAGATTTCCTTTAAATATTTCTGTTCTGATTTTTTTTTAAATCAGTGAAAGGTAGAAGCAAATGAGAATAGCTTTTCTCACTGTTGAATATTTCTATGCATTGCCTCTGTAATTCGAGATTGTAAAATCTTAGGGGTAGGGTTTCACATGAACTCCTATGTCCACTGGATTGAACTGAAAGGACTCCCTTGCTGTGTTGCTTATTTTGAGTTTCCTTCCAATTTTACAGTGAACAGAAATCTAGTCAACACATCTTATGTGAGTATATGGCTATAATAGCAGGGGGATACCCAGACTTTAATTGAATAGAGTGTGATAGAATAGTGGGTAGGAGATGGGCGATTAGTTGGTTAGGAGAATCGTAATATTTTCCAGCCCTGATACTTCACTAATTAGTTTTGTGACCTACGGTAAGTTACTTAACTTCTTTGGGCCCCATTTATCTTTAAGGAGGTTGAAATAGATGAACTCTTAGATCCTACTTCTTTTGAATTTCAGTCATTTTAAAATTAATTTCTTTAGTACGTTATCCACTCAGTTTATCTTCCCCCAAATTTTTGTTTATTTTTGTTCCACAGTAACTATCTTATTAAATCATTTGTTCTTTCAAACTCAGAAAAATTCCATGTTCTGAAGTTTGTCCAAACTGCTTACGTTTGGATTTGGGGGTTGTAACACTGGTAATGACAGTATTAATCAAGTCAGTTGAACAGGAAATATGTGAGAATATTCAGTGAAAATATAAATTGAGTGTAATTTAAAAAACAACAACTGTGATCTATTAATTCTTAATAATCAGCATTCTATGGCAGAACAAGGAGTATTTGGATTCAGTTTGAGTGAGTTTGAATTTACTCTTGTTCTTAAACTAATTAGTAGTTGAAATTACCCAGGAATTCAGTACTTATATACCTCTCTCTGAGTTTATCCATAGTCTAAGAGATTGAAGCTTCAAAATGAATCCCAGTGGTAGTCCTTACAAGCAGAATAAAAAGCCATACATGTTTGATGGTTCAGGTACATGAGTTTTTAATATTTCACTGTTCTGCATTTCAGATTCAAAACGCTAATGATGTATTAATAGCCCCACTGGAAAAGTTTCGGAAAGAACAGATTGGTGCTGCAAAAGTAAGTACTGTTTCTTTTTATTAGTCTCTAATTCTATGGTTCTGTTTCTTCTTCAGCTATCTTGTGTTACTTGAATGATAACACAATGCCAAACATTAATGCTTCTGAGAGTAGAACGACTCTTTAGCTATTTTGAACATTATCTTATTTTCTTGAAAAGAGGATTATGTTGCAAAGACAGCTCAAAATATTTTTCCAAGGAGTAGACTATAAGTTATTTTTTCTTTTAGTACAGAATTCACTTTTCTAGAAGAGGCAAAAATGATATCACTTTTCATGTTTTAGGCTTGAAAGGGTAGATTCCAGAGAAACCAGTCACTATGCATGTTGAAAATCAGGCAGTAGTCTTAAGTGAGTAAAGTAAACCATTTTTAAAAATTTAAAGTTCTCTACAAATGCTTAGTACTGTACTTATTAGTGTATCCTCTGCATTTCCATTCTATTTCCTTTTTACTAATGAAAATAATTTTTGTAGGAATTTTGGGTTCATTTTCTATGGGCATATTTTCTTTAACTCTCTAAAGAAGAAATTCTATTTTTTGTTTCATTTTTATTGTGTTTTTTAAAGTGAAACTGGGTATGAAGAAGAGGAATGACTTACGGATATTGAAGAGGCTCATATAATTTTTATGAATAGGAATAGTATTAGAGATTGGACCTGTGATTTTCTTAGTATAGGGAATTCCCTGATGAGTAACTTCTCACTACCATTGCAGGTTGACATCTTCTCCATATCTTGTCATCTCAGAAAACTACTTAGGGCACTGAGAGGTTAACTGACTTCCACATGATTATATAACCAGTAAATGTTAGAGGAAGGACTTGAATCTAGTCTTTCCTGGCTTCAAGGACGACTCTATTTACTATGCCACAGTTTCTATGGGCCAAATAAAATTTTTGCTGCTTATTGCTTTTTGGAAACTAGTCACTTTGCTTTTCTTTTTTATTTTATTTTATTTTTTATTAAACAATTTTTTTATTAATTTTTAGTTTTCAACATTCACTTCCATAAAATTTTGAATTTTGAATTTTCTCCCCTTCCTACCTCTCTCCCCCCCAACCCCCGGATGGCACACAATATGATATAGATTCTATTTATATGTTCGTATTAAGCATGTCTTCATATTAGTCATGATGTAAAGAAGAATTAGAACCAATGGGAGGAATCACAAGAAAGAAGAATCAAAACAACAAAAGAAAAGGAGAGCAAATAATATGATTCCATCTGCATTCAGATTCCATAGTTCTTTCTCTGGATGTAATAAATCTTTCCAGGTTTTTCTGAAGTCCACCTTCTCACTATTTCTTATAGCACAATAGTATTCCATTACATTTATATACCACAGCTTGTTCAGCCATTCCCCAATTGATGGGCATCCTCTCAGTTTCCAATTCTTGGCCACCACAAAAAAAGCTGCTATAAATATTTTTGTACATGTGGATCCTTTCCCCATTTTTATGATCTTTTTGGGATACAGACTTAGAAGTGGTATTGCTGGATCAAAGAGTATGCACAGTTTTATAGCTCTTAGGCTCTCCAGAATGGTTGGATCAGTTCACAACTCTGCCAACAATGCAAGTGTTCCAATTTTCCCACATCTTCTCCAACATTTATCATTTTCCTGTTTTGTCATGTTAGCCAATCTGATAGGTGTGATGTGGTGCCTCAGAGTCGTTTTGATTTGCGTTTCTCTAATCAATAGTGATTTAGAACAATTTTTCATATGACTATAGATAACTTTAATTTCTTCCTCTGAAAACTGCCTATTAATATCATTTGACCATTTATCAATTGGGCAATGGCTTGTATTCTTATAAATTTGACTCTGTTCTCTATATATTTTAGAAATAGGCCTTTATCAGAGACACTGGTTGTAAAAATAGTTTCCCAGCTTTCTCCTTCCCTTCTAATCTTGGTTGCATTGGCTTTGTGCAAAAGCTTTTCAATTTAATGTAATCAAAGTCATCCATTTTACATTTCATAATGTTCTCTATCTCTTATTTGGCCACAGATTCTTCCCTTCTCCATCGATCTGATAGGTAAACTATTCCTTGCTCTCCTAGTTTGCTTATACTATCTATCTTCATATCTAAATCATGTACCCATTTTGATTTTATCTTGGTATAGGATGTGAGATGTTGGTCTATGCCTAGTTTTTGCCATACTATTTTCCATTTTTTCCTAGCAATTTTTGTTAAATAATGAGATCTTATCCCAGAGGCTGGAGTCTTTAGATTTATCACATAGTAGATTATTATAATCATTGACTTTTGGTTGTGCCTTGCATACCTAGCCTATTCCACTTATCTACCACTCTATTTCTTAGCCAGTACCAAGTAGTTTGGATAATTGCTACTTTATAATGCAATTTAAGATCTGGTACAGCTAGGTCACCTTCTGTTGTATTTCTTTTCATTAGTTCCTTTGATATTATAGACTTTTTGCTCTTCCAGGTGAATTTTGTTATTGTTTTTTTCTAGCTTTATAAAATATTTTTTGGTAGTTTGATTGGTATGGCACTGAATAAGTAAATTAATTTAGGGAGAATCGTCATTTTTATTATATTAGCTTTGCCTACCCATGAGCAACTGATATTTTTCCAATTATTTAGATCTGACTTTATTTGTGTGAAAAGTGTTTTGTAATTTTGTTCATATAGTTTCTGAGTTTGGTTTGGCAGGTAGACTCCTAAATATTTTGTAATATCTACAATAACTTTAAATGGAATTTCTCTTTCTATCTCTTACTATTGGGCTTTGTTAGTAATATATATATAAATCCTGATGATGTTTATGTAGGTTTATTTTATATCCTGCAACTATACTAAATTTGTTTATTATTTCAAGTAATTTTTTTATTTGATTCTTTAGGGTTCTGTAAGTATACCACTATATCATATGCAAAGAGTGATAGCTTTAAAATTGATAACTTTGATTAAATTAAATTGAAAAGTTTTTACATAAACAAAGCCAATGCAACCAAGATTAGAAGGAAAATAGAAAATTGGGAAAGAATTTGTATAACCAGTCTCTCTGATAAAGGCTTCATTTCTAAAATATATAGAGAATTAAGTCAAATTTATAAGAATACAAGTCATTCCCCAATTGATAAATGGACAAAGGATATGAACAGAAAGTTCTCAGTTGAAGAAATTAAAGCCATCTATAGTCATATGAAAAAATGCTCTAAATCACTATTGATTGAAAGGCAAATCAAAACAACTCTGAGGTCCCACATCACACCTATCAGATTGGCCAACATGACAAAACAAGACAGTGATAAATATTGGAGAAGATGTGGGAAAATTGGAACACTAGTGTGTTGTTGGTGGAGTAGTGAAATGATCCCACCATTTTGGAGAGCAATTTGGAACCATACCCAAAGGGCTATAAAAACGTACATACCCTTTGACCCAGCAATAGCACTTCTAGGGCCATATCCCAAAGAGATCATACAAATGGGAAAAAGGTCCACATGTACAAAAATATTTATAGCAGCTCTTTTTGTGGTGGCAAAGAAGTAGAAATTGAGAGGATGCCCATCAACTGGGGAGTGGCTGAACAAGTTGTGGTGTATGAATGTAATGGAATGCTATTGTGCTATAAGAAATGATGAACAGGCTGACTTCAGAAAAACCTGGAAAGATTTGTATGGTCTTATGCGAAGTGAAGTGAGCAGAGCCAGGAGAATGTTGTACACGATAACAGCCATGTTGTGCGATGACTAATATTCATAAACTTAACCTTTCCCAGAAATTAAAGGATCTAAGACATCTCCAAAGGCCTCGTGATGGAAAATGCTATCCACATTCAAAGAAAGAACTATGGAGTTTGAATGCAGATCGAAGCATACTGTTTCTATTTTTTTTTCTTCTGTTGGGTTTTGTTTCCTCTTTCTGGTGTTTGCTCCTATTGGTTCTAATTCTTACTTACAACATCACTAATGTGAAAATATGTTGAATAGGAATGTATATGTATAGCCTATATCAGATTGTGCACTGTCTTGGGGAGCATGGTGGGGAGGGAGGAGGAGAAAAATTTTAAACTCAAAATCATATGGAAGTGATTGTTGGTAAATCAAAATAAATTAGTGATAGCTTTTTTTCTTCTTTGCCTACTCTGATTCCTTCAATATCTTTTTCTTCTCATTGCCAATGCTAACATTTCTAGTACCATATTGAATAGCATTGGTGAAAATAGTCATCCTTGTTTCACCCCCGATCTTATTGGAAGTGCTTCTAGCTTGTCCCCATTATATATAGTGCTTGCTGATGGTTTTAGATAGATACTACCTATCATTTTAAGGAATACTCCATTTATTCCTATGCTCTTTAGTGTTTTTAATAGGAATGGGTGCTGTATTTTGTCAAAAGCTTTTCCTGCATCTATTGAGATAATTACATGATTTCTGTTAGTTTTGTTGTTGATATGGTCAATTATGCTGATAGTTTTCCTAATATTGAACCAGTCCTGCATTCCTGATATAAATCCTAGGTGGTTAATGTATTATCCTAGAGATAAGTTGCTGCAGTCTCTTTGCTAATATTTTATTTAGAACTTTTGCATCTATATTCATTAGGGAAATTGGTCTATAGTTTTCTTTCTCTGTTTTGGCTCTTTCCAGTTTAGGTATCAGTACCATATTTGTATCATAAAAAGAATTTCGTAAGATTTCTTCTTCACCTATTTTCACAAATAGTTTATATAGTATTGGAATTAGTTGTTCTTTAGAAGTTTGGTAGAATTCACTTGTAAATCTATCTGGCCCTGGGGATTTTTTTCTTAGGGAGTTCATTGATGGCTTGTTCTGTTTCTTTTTCTGAAATAGGGTTATTTAAGTATTTTATTTCCTCTTCCATTAATTTGGGCAATCTATATTTTTATAAATACCCATTTCACTAAGATTGTCAAATTTATTGCCATATAGTTGGGCAAAATAGCTTTTAATTATTGTTTTAATTTCCTCTTCATAGAGGTGAATTCACCTTTTTCATTTTTGA